ACCTATGCTAGCTTTACCCATATAGATCCGTTGTGACAGAGGTGCACGAACATATCCATGAAACAGTTAGTCCTCAGCAAAAACAGCGCTTATTTCTCCTGCCCGTACATATCAAGCCGTTTTAAGTCTCATTTTTGTATTAACAGGTTTACGTCCTCTCTATCCAAACAACTGCCCACGTATCAAACCTGCTTCCATTTTTGTGTGCACGAAGTTAAAATCAACCTGGTATACACCCACGGACCGTCACTGTATGCGACTTGGGCAGTGCAGTTATAAGCACGAAAACGCTGTGCTTAGATCTATTTGGAAGATGCGCGTAGTGTACATGCTCAAAGAAGCCCAAAAAGTCGCGTTAAAACCGAAGAGGCATCCCAACTAGAGGGTACATCATATGTAAGTAAATTAGGGAGACGATACCGAGAAAGCTTTTTATTACAGACAACTGCACAAGCCTCAAAACATTTCCGAACTCCCAGTTAAAATGTCCACTCAGTAGATGAATGTGCATGTACTACTATGCAACTCTGCAAAAAGGTCATAAAGGAAAGTGTGGAGAGGTTATTCTGCAGTTTGTATAGCTATGACACAAGTCAGAAGTGTAAGCCGCCCAAGACGAAAACCGGCACTGTAACTGCATTCCAACTTTGCCTTTATCTTCGCCTTAACACTACCTTTCAATAAACTATGGCTGCTTAAGATTTATAAGTTTAGCTCATACGTTCCATAATTTTCTTCATCTCGCCTCATCCAACTAGCCTAGGCCGTCTACTAAATTTCGCTACTCCCATCGTCCTTTTCTACCATTTCCTGTTTTGAAGAATCTACATATTTTCTTGCTTCGTTTTTCTTTTTCCGTTTTTCATCCCCTCCTATTAGAGCGTTACCACATCCTTTGACCCCTTTAGACCTTAAAAGTTATCCGGCTAATAGGAACCTGCCTTTTATCAACTTTTCTCAGGTATCTGTATATTAAATAAAGAGATAGCTTGGAATTCATAACGTGAAAGAAATCGAAAATGAAATCGGGATTTTTCTGTTCCTTCTTAAAACCTAAGTGCGACCTCGGACTGACTGACTTTGAGAAGGCTTGCCGAATCTGACCTTCTACAACCGCCCATTTCAATCGGTTTTCGCTGACGTTTTCTCGGCGCCGGTTGGGCTGTTCTGAATCATGATACATTCCTATCTTCTCTCTTTTCTATTGATTTTTCATCATTTACTGTTAGCAAATGCATGGGACAGTAAGGAACTTGAAATGTTTGACCTCGTTGAGGAACTGGACAGGACGTTCTATGAGTTTATGTCCATTGAAAGAGTAATTTAATTTCCCTTTAAACACTCTTTTAGACAGCCTCGTTAAGCGATATAAAGCGAGCCTACCGAAAGCTTTCTCTCGAACTGCATCCTGATAAAAACCCTGACGACCCTGATGCGTCTCGAAAATTTCGACAGCTCACAACTGTTTATCACACTCTTAAAGATGAAGAACTTCGAAAAAGGTACTTGATCTTTTTTTTCTTAATTTCTCAGTTACCATTCCGTGCTCGACAACGGTCTTCCGGATTGGAGAACGCCTGTATTTTACTATCGCACTTTGCGTAAAATGTCAAATACTGAGCTTGCTGTCCTAGCGACAACGTTTTCTATCGTTATTCATTTTGCGGCCGTTTGGGGACATACGTTTGAAAAACGTTGGACGCTGGTAATTTCAACTTAACTTTCATACAGTCTTTTAGCGTGAACGGCTAGAAACTCATTATAAGCGTCATAAGGCTTCGGACAAACGAAAGATCGCCATCGATGTTGAAATCGCTGAACAACTAAAGGCAATAGCCTCTCCGACTCTTTGGGATATCTTGCCAATTTATCTCGTTCGAGTGGTGTTAAATTTTATCATATCTATTCCGTCGTGCGTCTCCTCTATGATCAAACTGATCAGAGATCTCGCAGAGGAAAAGAGAAGGACTAAAGAAGAAATTAAAGGTACTGTTAAATTCCGTGTGACAGTCTTTCTGTCATCTGTCGATTTTCAATTTGTGATTTGTATGCTTTTCCCCCTAATAACAAAATACCGTAATTATTGCAGCATGTAAATGCTCGCATAGTTATGCCAAAATTGGCCGGCCTGTTGATGTCCACATTATGCTGAGTTGTTCATGCCACACTGATGCCCGGCCGAAAAAGCCTTGCCAGATCGTGTAAAACGTACTTGGAATATCAAGTGAATCACGTTAGTCATTCCTCTTATGTCCCTTCCGCCTTTAATATTACGAACATTCAGGCAGATGTATTGTCTTTATTTATAAAGGCAGTCTAAATGTGACAACGAATTTTCTTTTCAAATTTTCCCTTCCGGCGTTCCACAGACGGAAAACGTCTGGAGGAATCATTCGGCTGGCTTACCATCGACCAACAGGCATGTGCGCGTTGCATGGAAACTCAATTTGCCTTTGCTGTCTGTTTACGGGTGTTTGCTTCTTCCACGAAAGCATGAAATTTATTGAAGTTCGTCATGGACCTGATAGGAAACAGAAGCTGGTTGTCCGTTTCAACACTCTAGTTGTCGTTTGATATGTTTAACGACGGTTATTTAACCCCTATGTTGCTGGTAACCGCCTAACGTACATGTCTGTCTGTTTCGCGCATATTGTCAATAATATGTGAGCACCTCTTGGATATTCCTAGATTTAGTTTTAACAAGCTAGCATTCACAAATTTTCTGTTAAACGAGAGTGTAATTACCCTGTCTTCGCTCCACTTCTGTTCCACATCGCTTACTTTTCAACCTATCATAGTTAACTGCACAACTTTTTACTTTTTTCAAAGTATGCAAGAAAGAGGTTGAATATTTCGATGTATTAAAGTATTATTCACTTGTTGTATTTTGCTGTATAGTGCGCATAGACTAAAATTTCTGACATGGATGCATCTTTTGCTAGATCATTACGATAATTTATATGTGTTAGACCTTCACTCTAAGACAATAGTGGGGCCGCAAATAGCCAGTATGGTGGGCAAATTTATTGTCTGTCAGATCATCTCAGAATAACGTACTACTTGATGTGCTAATCCGACCTTTATGTCAGTAGTATCCTGAAAAAAAATGAAGGTATCAGCCTCAATGCCTTCGGCTATTAAAGGCATTAATTAAACGTTTCTACACATCCAGTAATCAGTTCGATTAGGAATTGTCACTACCTTAATAGTCTCTTCGCATATTTGAGGCAACGTTTTCCTCCAAAGGTTCCTACATGCTTAATAGACATTCTTCTCATAATTTTCTGCAGCAATCGTATTAAAACCGTCTTTTTCGTTTTGCACTTCACGAAACCTTTATTACCACGAAACTTTTAATCAAAGAGATTAACAGTTTTGCAATTATTTCTCCCTACAACAGACTTTTGTGTTTATTTCTGTTTATGTAACGTACCTTAAAATCTGATAAACTGCTTTATTTGGAATCTGCTTTTTATCAGAGCTGGAAAGGCTCGAGGATGAGCGCAAACTGCGGAAAACTCAGAAGAAAAAGCAGCAACCTGAAAAGCTTCAAAAAGATCCTCTGGATGTGGATGTATCAATACTGACGACCTTTTCCCCTGACAATCTGAGGGTGTCAACCGATGAACTTTGCGAAGCAGACGATCGGCCCATAACTACTAAGGTTTGTTGTTCTCCACTACTTCTTTTTGATGTTCGTTGTCTGTTCAAGTGTCTTCGAACTTCGCGATTTTAATGATGGAATGATCCCCTTGTTTCGTTTCGACAATAAAAGTAACTACTCCTAAAATAATTTCAGAGTGCAACTCTGCAAAATAGTTCTTTCGATGCATATTAATGTTCGGCGGTCCTGACTTCTTTACAGACATGACAGTACGACTGTGGTCCTACCCGAACTATCCAACCTTCATTATATCGCGGATTGTGCCTCCTAAGTGCGGCAGTCTGCAGCAGTGGATCTAGAGAGCCCAATCTACTCTCTTCCCGGCGATGGTGACTGAAGATCGATAGATCACTTCCGTGTGTTGGCGGATTGTGTTGGGCTAGGTTTTAAGCTGACTACCTCTCTGAAGTTTCAGGGTAATTGGCGGTTTCGGATTTAGGACGTGACCACCAAAGTCTATAAGCAGACGACAAAGAACCTGCAAAAGCCACTTCAATCGTCTTTATTGGATGGCCCGAGATATACTCGTGAGTTTGTCACAGCGAGTGTGGACTGACCCGTTGGAGACCAAGCTGGGGTGCTTCGCTCGAATCTTGGTTCTCGGGAAAAGGGTGGTGGTCAGACATCACCAGTTTTCCCTCGACTGTCCCAGCAGTACCGAAGGCCTGGTCGGATAGGCATCGGTAAGAGGTATCACGTCGGATGCATAGACTTTCTTAGGACTGAAGATCCGGCGAACAGCATCGATTTGGGAAGCTATGTCGTCCTTGCTCCGTCCACTCAACAATTAATTCGCCCTGAAGTATTTGAAACTGTCCACATCCCTAGGATGGAGACCATTAATCTCGATGTATGCCTTCGTCTGATCATGGATTCAGCTGGAAAAAATTTCGTTTTTCTGGGTCAGGCAACCGGCGTTTGGATGAAAATTGAACATCTTCAAACTCACCTACGGCTATTTCAAGGATCAAGTTAGTGGTGTACTTGAATAGAATTAACGACAGAATACAATCTCGTAGAAGCCAGACTAAAAGCTACAGATGAAACAATTTGAAGTCTATCACAGCCAGTTTTTTTTCCACGGGATACCATATAGTTCTATTATCTGCCACGGGATCTCGGTAATGGAGCATTTGTAGATCTTGATCATCTGGAGGATTTTTGCATTTTGGATGATTGCTGCTAGAAATGGCACGTTTATTTTCTATAGAGTGTGTTCAAGTTGGATCGTTAACAAATTATTAGGTAAGAGTTCTTCGCATGGCCGCCCAACGGCAAAAGCCTCCCGTCGTCAAAAGGAAATGAAAGGGTGGAACACACCGGGGGCCGAATAGGTGCGTAACAGTTGCGTACTAAGGTTTCTGAAAGGACAAAAGGATATAAAGTAAGCCTATAAACGAAGAAGACTATTAGAACAACTCATATTGATTAACATAATCAAGGAAGTACTTAGATAGGGGAAATTTGAAATGCTGAAAAGTTAGAAGTAAGTTTTATTTGTTGAAGTCCCTTGGAGGCGGCCATACGATAAACTCTCATCAAATATTAAATGCGTTGTACTTTCTCACTTTATAGTTGTAGGTATTGGAATACTCAAAAATGACTCACTATTTTAGACCATGGCGAACATCGTCACTCAGTGTATTCTTATCACGCACACATGTATACTTTCCCCCTCTTTTACTAGTCTCCTACACGTGGGTATTCCTCGATCTGAGGAACTGCGGGTCAGTCTGATATGCCTGTCATTGTATTCTCCTCTATATGCCATCCAAGTCGCCCTTATTATAGGAGGTTATGTCTGTAGAGGATAGCAGGGCGTATAAGGTGCGTGTGGACGTTTTTTTTAGTTTTGCCAACCAACATAGCAAAACTCAGATCCGATTATCTTACCATCAGAGCAAGGTGTGGCATGGTGGGCGCTGTGCGCCAGTCCGCTCCACTATGAACTAGTTCATGCCCGGGCGATCGCCGAACTGTCGTGTTGTGTTGTGATGAAAAAAACTGCATTTTCTGCCTTTGAAACAGACACCTTACTTTAGTCGGGACGATAAGAGTTTTAACTCCTCTGAAGGACTACAGGGCGAGCAGATCTGAAGACGTTTTTTTATCTCCTTGCTTGGACATAAGAGCTTCAGCAAAACCTTTCTCTGGTTCGATCGGAAACCGTTTTACCATACGCCTGAATTCACGTAAGAAGCGCGCTAGCTTTTCACTCGCCCGTATAGTCTAAAGTATGTTTTCCATTGCCTTCACTCCCTCTACAAATTCAGTTTCCTACATCTCCTTATTCTCAACAGGAGTGGACGGCAGACGAGGAGGCCATTTTTATTCGCCTAACTAACAAGTATCCCGGGGGCTT